ATTTTCCATTGGTTTTGGGTTCATGGATAAGGAAAAGGAATCCAATTACATTTGGGCTTTAAATTGTCTAAATGCCATAATCGATAGATATGATAGTCCATATGTGATCGTCACTGACAGAGAGATAGCATTGATGAATGCATGTAAAAAAGTATTCCCATGGGCCATTTAGATACTTTGTAGATGGCACATATCTCAAAGTATATTTACTAATTGCAAAGGATGTTACATGATAGATGCTGAGTGGAATTCCTTTTTAAAAGATTGGGAAACTTTAGTCAATTCATCAACAGTGGCAACATATTTGAGAAATTATGCAAAACTGGAATCAAAAGCGACAAATCATGCAGGTACTATTTTATTTTATATATTAATATATATAATAATAAGCTAACCATTTACTTTTTTAATTAGGTGTTCTCGTATCTCAATCGAGTCTGGTTGGATAAATACAAATAAAATTTTGTATCTACTTGGATTAACCAAGTTTTAAACTTTCACAACCACACTAACAATAGAGTTGAGAGCCAACACGCGAAGTTGAAAAAATTCTTGCAGACACAACATGCTACCTTAGATAAAAAAAAAATTCGAATAGAAAAGGTAGTGGAATCGCAACACACTGCGATAAAAGATATTTTAGAAACAAACCGAACTAAGTTGATGCGTCGGTACAACATACCCCATTTTAAAGGTTTGTGTGGAAATGTTTCACACCATGCATTGGAAAAAATTAGACAAGAGTTGGACCGACCTGACGCACATCAAATAATTGAGGACGATTATGGTTGCCAATTGCGTCGTAGTTGTAGGTTACCTTGTGCCCACGAAATTGCAATTTACTCATGTGCGGACCAACCAATACCATTATCGTCTATTGATAAATTTTGGCGTAAGCTTGATTTAATCAATGTCAAAGTTAATGATGATATTAATTTTCGTTTTAATGAGGGTGTGGAATTATTAAAAGAAAGCTACGTTGAACAGTCAAATGAACGAAAACATAGTTATGTTAGAAAATTGTGGGACATATTTTCACCATCAACAACTACAGTTGTTGATCCAGGTACTATTTTCTTTAATATATTAATTTGTATAATAAAATGCTAAAAATTACTTGTTTATTCAGATGTTCATAAAAATACTCGTGGACGTCCACGATTGAGCAAACAAAAGTCCAAAAATGTAGGCCACAACACCCCACCTATACCAACGCCCACTCCTACCAATACTCGTAGACGTAGTTTTTCTATGAATAGAACAGATAATATGGATACCAGTGACCTTGACTTAAATCGGGAACCAGAGAGGCATAGCACGTACTCGTTTCGCGAACATTCAATGTCCAATTCATACTTTAACCAAGATCAACCATCTTATACTTCAATCCCACTTATGAATGAAATTCCACATCAATTTCATCCATACGTCAGGAACATTACAAATGTCGAAGGAGATGGAAATTGTGGATTTCGGTGTATAGCAGTTGCTCTTGGTCGTAGTGAACATGATTGGCTTCAAATTAGGTACGATCTATACAACGAGTTATTATCACACTATCAAGAGTACGCTATGATTTATGATGATGTTCATTTTTTAAACCGCATAAGTCACTCATTGAATTACTCTGGATCGGGTTTTGCGGTATCAGAGTGTTGGTTGATTATGCCAGACACTGGTATACTCATTGCTAACAGATACGATGTTATCGTTATTTATCTAAGCAAACAAGGTTCTTCAACGTGGTTCCCACATCGATATGGCCCGCAAGATATACCAAACCCTATATATGTCGTTATCGCCCACATTCACCCTAACCATTATGTAATGGTTGATTTACAAGGATCATATCCAATGCCTGATGTTTTGTCCAGGCTTCTCCGTACATACAGACCAGAATAATCGGCTGCATGGGAAACATTGTATAGTGCACGACTAATGTTTTCAATCCGTATAACGCACCACACAATATGCAATTATAATACCGTACCAATTAATATCCTTAATTAATAGGGACAAACTTTGCTTTTGTTCCGATTTTATATAGTCTTTCGAATTTATAATGTCCGATTTATAAAATGTTGTTTGAAGTTTATAATAATAATAACAGTAATAATTAATATTTATATTAAAATATAAAAAATATTTAAAAACTGATTTTATATAACCGTTTGCATTTATAATGTCGTCCGAATTTTAAAATTTTATGTGAAATTTATAACAATTATAATAATAATAATAATAATAATAATATAAATTAAAAAAGAATTAAAAAAAAATATCGTCCGAATTTTAAAATTTTATACGAAATTTATAACAATAATAATATAAATTAAAAAAGAATTAAAAACAACTAAAAAAACAAAATAGAAAAAAAAAAAAAAATCAAATCAGGGTGAGATTGGAAATAGAAAAACCTATAATACATGCTTCGCCTTTGTTGTCTCTGCTCTTGCTCCGGTTTGTAGTCAGACTCTTTCTGTGATTTCAATTTTATTTTTTGTTGTTGTATTGTTAATGTTTTTGTGGGTTTTGGTTCTTTGGGTTTTCCGATTTTCAAGCTTTGTTTGTTGATTTTTTTTTGTAGGATTTTGTTTGTCACGTCTCTGAAACATGTGACTCCAAATAGGGGTTTGTTGTTGGAACAATCATCTTATGTACAAGCAAGTGGAAATGCTCACGTCTGTTAATATTCAGCGAAGAAGTATTATTTATTTACTTACTTCCACCTATAATCTTCGATGCTGAGTAAGGTCGGTGCCTGTGTATTTAGTTTATCCAATTGGCTCGACTATTCTACATGTATCCCTAATTTTAAGCTTACTATGAACTACTTTCAGGTGAAGAAGTCTGACAACACAGAAGCATTGAATAGGGTCGACTTGTTGATTTCAGTGGATTTTCCCCGATTTAGGGTTTGACCTAAACAACACCGTCACTTTGCGCCTTGCAGGTTTGTATACAATCTTTTCTCCTCTTTTTTTCATTATTCTAAGTTCAATTTTGCATCTGACCTAAATATTAGTGCTTTGTTCTTATTTTTTTCCACTTTGGATCGGTGTTATCGCCTGAATAAAAGAGTTTGATCATGGCAACTATAGATTTTTTTTTGGAGGAACAAGAGTTGGAGAGAGATTGAGATTGATGGCCCTCTTCCGGACTTCCATTTTATTCCTATCAAGTAACTTCACAACCTTCTTTCTTCTTGATAATTTTCCTTTTATCTTTGATGCTGTTGAATTTGATCTCAGTTTTTCATCTTGTTATTATGTTTGCCTTTTGGATCATCTTGAAATAGATACTTGAAAGAGGACAACCCACGTGGGTCTGCTGGTTGACTACACAATTTCAGAGATCTCATCACTAACGTAACAAGAAAAAACTATCTTTTCAAACTCCTATTGAATACTAACGTAATATAAATTATTATGTTTTTTTATTACCTGAATTCTGTTTTTTATTGCCTTGCAGCTAATCTGAGACGTCAATCCAGCTTTGACGCCTTACAGTCAGCAACAAGGTACTTCTTTTTTAATTAATGACACAATTAAGTAATTTTATAGAGAAAGAAATTATGAAAATTTATAACAATCGTGTCCTCATACAAGTACATGTTACAGGAGTCTTCCTGGAAACTTTGTGGGATTGAGGTTTACTTATGTTTGGAAACCATGTAAGTTCAATTCAACGTTTTTATGGGTGAACATCCCAATTGAAGGTTTGCAAGCTTTATTAATATTTATTTTCTTTATTTACAAGTTACTCTTATTTCTTTCAATTTTGTGAAAATATGAAAATGATGACGTTTGGGGTAGTCTCTTTCACTTCACTATGTGAATCGTTAGGTAGGAGGGGAATTACTTTCATTGTAACAATTTCAAACATGATTTCTTGCATAAATCGTGTCATAAACCCTTTTTGTTGCATAAATTATTTAACCATTGAAATGTGATTGCATTAATATGCTAAAAGGCCTTCTATGTACGCATAAATTGATAGTAATAACTTGAGACGTGATTACAATTGTCAAATGTGGTTTCATAATTATGCCTGCAACTCTTTTATTTATGTATAAATTGGTGACTTTGTCACATAATTCATGTAGAAAACCATTTCGTTGTATGTATCAGTTAATAAATGATACATGGTTGCACAGGTATGCAACTAATCCTTTTGTTTATGCATAAATTGTTGCACTTATAGTAACAACTTAAAACATGACCGAATTAACAGCTGATGTTGTGTAGGTTTTAGAAGTCACTGATAACTTAGAAAAAGATATTCTACATACTGCAATTGAAGATTCTGTTGATAGTTGCAAATTTGGTTAAACAGTGGACAAAATTAAGACTAAACAGTTTGAATGAATGGCTATATGCAAATGTCCAACAAGAGGTGGGCTCATTAAATAAATAGCAATGACTAATCTGTTTAGTTAGTGTATTATTCGTAATGATTATAAAAGTGAAAACAATTAAACAATAATCTTTAGCATGCCATTCTACAGACTCAATTCATATATAAATAAATACCCTCCAATTACTTAAACATTATGATGTCCGTATGATATTTTGCTAATCTTTTGCTAGCATCAGTAAACGTTATGATGTTTGTATGTGATTGTTCCTAATCATAAATAAGTTTGTATTATATTTTTTGTTTCTCCTTTTATGTTTTATTATTAAAATGCTTATTTGCTCAACAAAAACATTCTCATAAAAAATATTAAAAACTTGATAACCAAAATTTAGGAACGGTTCACTGTTACTTAAAATTAATGATTTACATTTCATTAAAAAAAATCATTCTCCGGAAAAGAATAAATATGATAACACAAAACTCATAAAAAGTTTACAAAAAAAAAATTCATGAATGATTCACTAATATCAGATGAAAAATGGTTATAACAATTCAAAAAAAAAATATCATAACACCAACTAACCCCTGCAACGCGGGGTGACTCTTTCTTAATTCCTATTTAAGTCACATTCATAAGTTTTCCATTGGTTAAAATTTTATGTTTAACATCATAACTGATTCAATCCTTAAAAGTCGTTTTATTTATTTAATTTTTAGAAACCGACACTTCTATTCATTTTGAACCTTTACCTAATCAACAGGTTATTTTTTATTGTTAAAAATTACACTTTTGGCCATATTTATAAAATATTACAATTTTGGTTCAAAATTTACATCTTTTGCCGAAATTTCAATTTTTTTTTTAAGATTTCATCATAAATTTATTTGTTACATCTTTTTTTTCAATTTGTTTTTGAATATATTTTGTTTGTTGTATAAAATCATATTTATATAAAAAAAGAAGATTTTTCACATAAAAAATCTTCTTTTTTCTTTATTTAAAAAACACTTTTTAATGCAAAATACATATATAAATTTTTTTTAATATATACTTATTTACATTTATATATTTTTATATTAAATATTTATGTATAAAAGTGTGAAATACACTTATGTAAAATACATTGTTATACCCACACACACATATATATATATATATATATATATATATATATATATATATATTAAAATAAGTACGTATTAAATACATAAAAAGTATTTTGTGTGCATATAAATACATCAATATATACAAATCTGTTTTTTTTATAAAAATATATAAATACATCAATATATACAAATCTTTTTTTTTTTATAAAAATATATAAATACATCAATATATACAA